ACTTACTGTTCCTCTGGATTTTTCCTTAAAATGGTGGCTGGCATACTTTATTGTGGTTTACAGCCAGGCTGCAATATCTGAGCATTTCAACCTGACACATATGATTTCAGCAAACCTCTAATTAGTCGCCTCTTATGACACGCTTGTAAGAGGAACAGTGGGTCTATTCATTCTGAACTTATAATCTTCCTCCTTTTGTCATTTCATTTGTACAATGTTCTAACAGGTAACAATTATCAACAGCATTCATTAAAAGCACTGGAAACTCGCTCCAATTATGGGTTCATTTCTAAACACAGTAAATCACAGTAATTGTACAACAATCTAGGGATGATGTATGCCATGTTTAAATGTACTTATGTGACACTCTGAAGTTGCAGAAGCAATAAAACCAACAGGTAGCAGCAATCAGTTTGCAGATTATCTGGCAGGAAAGACGGTTACTTTGACTGGCTTCAACACTCGACGGGACTGATGTCATTCATACCATGAGAGATGCAGATCACAAAGAAGATCATGACCATTAGCAGGGCTCAGTATCCTTGTCCAGGCTGGTGGATATGGCAGTGCAACCTGGCGTGGCCAGAGATAAACAGTTTACTAAGAGCAAAAGACGTCTGTTTAATCAACCCAGAACCAGTGTGATCAGTCGTTTTATTCACGCTTGTGGAGCTACTGCGGAGGAGATCAGAGCACAAACGGATCAGTCTGGAGTGCTGTGATGATGATCATCATGAAGCAGGTCCTTTGCAGAATGTCGCTCTCATCACAGTCTGCCTGAAAGAAACTCGGTCTCTCGTCAGTTCTCCCGCCTCATGAACTTTCACACTCAAGGAGTCACTTATATCCTGTGCCCATCTTCGTGTCAGTCGGCACCTGCCCCTCCTTGCTGATGCCATGCCTTCTGCTATAATTTGTGTGTGTGTGTGTAATGATAGTCTTCACTAATCATGCAGCAGTCCAGAAGAAGAAGAACATAAGTAATCAGAAGGGGAACCCTTGCCCTTCTATCTTTCTACTTCTTTCTATGAGTGCCGACCAATACATTGTCTGTTTGTTTATTATATATAGAAGAAGAAGAAAACAGACAAGCAGAGTGAAAAATATTTACATAAGGAGATTCATTAAATGTATTTCTAATTCACAATGTACTGTATTCATTCCCAGTATAAAAAAACTAAACAAGATAAGGCAGAAAATGACATAAATAAAATGAAGTACAGGAAAGCTCCAGTTCAGGAAAATAACAACTAAAGAAATTCTTGATTTATTAGCAGAGCTTAGCATACACAGCATACATACATCATAAACCACTTCTGATGCAAATTATTCCTCCCCACGACGCTTAACGGCAGAAGTGGTTTATGATGATGATGATGATGATGATACTTAGCATACAGAAGATAAAACAGACCCTGAAGATCTATAACACCAGAAAAATTGCCTCATTGAAGTTTTTATCTCAGTGACCAGGAAAAACAAAATATGAATTACACAGCTTCCCATGTGGGGCCTGGAGCCTCACTTTGGGGAAAAAAAGGAACATGAACTCAATGTCTTTTATCAAGCATGCTGTAACAAGGAGGGGATCCAAGCACTGAAGGACTGAAAGGTTTAATGTGCAATGAGGATAATCTGTTGGCTAACTAACTATTTAACTAAGCATGTTGTAAAAACGATTAATTAAGAGTTTACTGATATTAGACATGTGTTACCACAGTCTGGCTGTAAACCACAACACAATGCGCCATCTGCTCTTTTAAGGGAAAATTCAGAAGAAGAATCGCAGAAATATAAGTTTAATGAGTCGCATTAGCAAACTGCTCTTTTAAATCATAAACAAAAGGATCAGAAATAAAATACAACCAGAAATTTAAGAAACTCCTTATTTGTTGGGGACAAAGACACAAGAAATCAATTTTAACTTTATCGACATCGTGGAAAAGTTAATCTGATAACAGTATTCAATAGTATTAGGTGTAATGTGCAAGTAAAATGTTTCAGCACTCCGGCAGATTTTTTTCAAAATTCCAAGTCACCACAGCCTAAAATGGATTCTGAGAAGTAAATGTGGCTGTCATAATGTTGACCATATCACAAGTGATGTTTCACCACATCACATCAGATCATCAAGTACTGATTGTCTATATAAAAAATATGTTTAGCACCATATTCCATGATGTGGAAAATGTGCGCCAAGGGACAGTTGAGTTTTCAGGAAGAAAAAAAAATTTAACAGATATTAAAAAAAAAAACACCATACCTATGTCCTATTCTTACATTTGCTGTAGATGTAGATACAACAGGTATAGTGTGAGCGGAAGACCTTGAAAAAGATTGAGTGATGGCATTAAGAACAACCTTACAGAAATGAACATCAATATTAATAATGCTCTTGACAGAGCTCACTAGTGAAGGTTACATCTACCCTTGATACTTCACTGAGGTACAAGGTGGAAGAGGAGAAGAAGAAAGAGAAGAAGAAGAAGAAAGAGAAGAAAAAGAAGAAGAAGCAGAAGAAGAAGAAGAAGAACTGTAGTGCTACAAACATATTTGTTATTTCATATTCTAACATCATCAATTGGCAGGAACTTTAAAGAATGTCCCTCTCATCATGGCAAGCCTGAAAGTTGCTCTCTCTCTCTCTTTCGCCAATTCTCAAGTCCTATGGGCTTTCAGAGCCAATATATATTCAGTATCTTGTATCCACATATGAGAAGATCTGCTTCTGCACAGTTTTCTGAACTCTACCCTCCTTCACTATTCTAACAATCAATACATAAACATTCTTGTATATCCTATTCTAACAAACGTTATTAAGCATACCCGTATTTCCTATTCTAACACAATATCATAAACATACGAGTATTTTGTAATCTAACAGATGCTATAAATATGCTTGTATATCCTGTTCAAACAGATACTACACAAATACTTGTTTTTTATGCTTAACTTTTCCTGGTGGTTTGGGGGCTCCATTTTGGGGGGTTACCCCCCCCCCCCCCCCCCCAACAATCAAGCATATTGTAAAAGGTGACTTATCAAGGTTCTGCTAAAATTGTATATTTTGGTCCAAAAGGCCCAGATATTGCAGTCTAATCTGTAAATCAAAATATGCCAATTGCCCCTTTTAAAGGTGAACTCAGAAGCAGAAATATTTCCAGGGCTATACTATATTGCATTTCTTATTCTAACAGATGCTATTGAAAATTCTCTTATGTCCTATTTCAACAGATGAAAAAATATGAATCAGTACATTATATACAACAAAACATTTTGATTTATTTCTACCCCTGTCTCTTTCAGATAAAAATACATCAGATACATAATTATCATCATCACCATCTGCATCAAAAACGTATGCTTCTGAACAAAGAAGACACAAACAACAGACTGCACAATTTATTGCCAGGCATATTCTCACTTAATCTCCTCAGCTGCATGCGACAGAAGCGAGTGAGTGAAAAATGCGGTATGTCCTTCCCACAAGTCCACCCCAATACCTGTTTCACTCATGTTCCGCTTGCACACATCTTTATAATGTAGCAGGACACGACCTCGACATCTTCTACCCATCTTTAATTCACCATAGAGGATGTCCTTAGGGACTCTACTAAATATGCCAGGCAATCAATTGTGCAATGTACTGATACTGTTACCATCAGCAGCAATGACTCCTGTAGACGAGCACTGAACACTTATAGGAATGTCCTGACTGAAGTAACGTCTATACCTAACTTAACTGTCAGTGTGTGTTTACGTAAATATTTCGCCCGGCTCTCTAGCGCAGTTGGCTAAACTGGACTGCGCGGTGACCGGGTACCGAACTCCTTGTGGTCCGGGTTCAAGCCCGGGGGTAGGCAGAAAAGACAAATTTCTCCCAGATTTACGGTATCTATCATGGAATCAAGACCGAAGGGTTGCGATATCCATAGTACCGAGCCAAAGGGTTAAGAACTCATGGTTTCTGGATACTTAAAAAAAAAAAAAAAAATTAAATATTTCCTGTAATTTACAATTTAAATAAAACAATTTTTTTTCTTAATGTCTATCAGGATCTTTAGTAGCTGTAGTACATTTTACCCCACTAGGACATCACACAAGCGTTAAACACCTGATGACATAAAGTGCCACCATGTGGATGAGGATCACCCGTGGAGAGGTCCTGGAAACCGCGTTCAGCCATTAGACCATATTTATGGCCAGGCTATTTTGTGGCAACTGGCAAGAGCCAGAGTTGGGCCTCAAAATAACCAAAAATTGCATCCCACACAGGGATGACCAGTGTATATGATGGAGCCACTTTGTCCAGCATGAAAAATATCTTTTGTAGATAATGATTACAAAAATGTGTAACAATGGTTTCTTTTTAAATATCACTTGTCAACTAATATTGTAAAAGTTACATAACTAAAGGCATTGTAATGTATGCTTAATTTCTGACCTGAATTTAATTTTGCACACAAAAGTATGAGGTTTTGTACATATTCTAGGTCTCAACATACAGGGCAGTAGGTAGTTTTAGTAGAATTATGATTTAAAAAAAAACATAGTTTTTCTTCTCTAGGATTGCTGTCTGAAGGATTAACGTCTCAAAAATGAGAACCAAATAAGTACAAATCCTGGAAACCCTGTTCTACCATATAGCAAACCCTGGTCTCCCACACAGCAAACCGCGTTCACCATATAGCAAACCCTGTTCTACCACACAGCAAACTCTGTTCAACCATATATATAGCAAACCCTGTTCTACCACACTGCAAACCCTGTTCTACCTCATAGCAAACCCTGTTCCATATAGCAAACCCTGTTTTACTATATAGCCTTATAGTACATTAATACGGGGGACCACAAAACAGTTATTAAGTAACCTTTAGACCAGTGTGGATAGGGCTACGGAATGATGATAATGAATTGACTCATGGCCACTTTTTAATACCAACACTATAGATAATTACAATAGGTTTTTCAGCTCCAGTGCTAAAAACTTAAAACAATGCCTATGCTACTTGGAGTGGCTGACTGAATGTGGAAATTTCTATCTGAGCTTGGGTAATCATGTGCTGTCCTATACCGGGCGAGGTGTTGCTGGTGTCGCTGGTGCTTCCCTCTGAATCCTGTGTTGTCGAATCACCACGGGAATGCCCTGAGACATGGGGGTCTAATGGGACAGCCAGTGTGTTTTCTGGCGAGGGAGACGAAGTAGAATTGCGGGAGCTGGTCCTGGTAACTGTCAGGAGGTTATTATCCTGATTCCTCAAAGGGCTTGTCTCTGTGCTACTAACTGCTGTTCTCACCGATGAGTAATCGCTTCTTCTACGGGATCTATGGTGGTGGTGGTGATGGTGAGAATGCTGTCGGGAATGATGTCTGTGCTGCTGGCGATCACAGTTACAGGGAGCTGAATGCTGGTGGTGACAAGTCTTTTGTGAATGGTTATCGGAATCTGTGAGCGGAGCCAGTTCTTGGTTGTGAGAGTAGTGGACACTGCTGTGCTCTCTGGTGCTTGTGCTGGATGATGACAAGGTAGACTCTGATAAGGCATAAATTGTCTTGTCTATGTGCTCCCGTGAGGAAGGTGAGCAGCAGTCAAAAACTGGCCAGTGAAACTGACCAAAGCTTTCGTGGGGGCCAATGGTTCTGAGGAGTGCCAGAAAAAAGAAAGTGGCATACACCCAGGCTAAACTAACCAACAGTAACAAAAATGTTCCAAACTTTTTATACACTAGCACAGTGGAGAACATCATAAAGGCCCCAGCCATCATGGTAGTGAATGCTGCCATTGCTACAGGGCTGCCCATGCGCCCTAAAGAGTTAATGACCCTCATCTCTCGACCCAAGTCTGGGGACAGCCTAAAGGCAACTCCATAGTGTAGGGTCAAATCCACTGCCAGGCCAATGGCTATTGTGATAACCACTGACTCTAGGACGCCCAGCTCCCACTGCATGAAGACTAAAGATGCCAGAGTGACACAGATGGTGGCAGCAACACTCAGTAAAGCATACAGGCTGATGAGGACATTCAGAGTTGTGAAAAATGAAACAACTGCCACAACCGAGAGTGAGACTCCTAGAGCTAGTGGGGTACCCATAGCCAGGGATGACTGGAGGTCATAAAAATCTAAACTGCTGACAAACCAACCCCTTTTCATTTCTACAGGTGCCTGAAGAAGCTCTTCCCTCACCCAGTTGTCCACTTTCAAATAAAACGACTGAACATCTTCATAAGAATGGCTGAAGGAATGGTTGCTTAAAAACTGTACAAAAAATGCAGTAATTTTTCCATTGTTAAATCTGGGGCCTGGAGAGCGACTGTTGTAGTGTATTCCTGGAGTGCTGGTGAGCAGTGGAATGTACGAAGACAGGCAAGTGATCATCTTAGATTTTGTGAAAGGAAACTTGGTCTGGTTACAGCATTCCAAATTTTCCTTATGACATGGTTGTTTCATCCAGCGATGAACGAAATTCTCAAGGAAGCAGTCTGTTAGCTGAATTCCTGGATAGTGTTGATAAAAATCTGAGCGCCGAAGTCTCGAGCAAAAATCGAGAATCCACTGCTGGGCATTCGGCGACGTCAAATCAAAAGATGGATCGTATGTTAAGGATCCTTTATTGTATGGGTCTAGTGGATCTCCATTATCTGTGGGGAGAACTCCCCACACTATTGTTATAGGAAACATAGGCAGCTCTTCACTCTCCTCTGCCCGCTCAAAGTCAAATAAATCACTTAACTCAAAATCATAACGCTCTAGCAGGTGGTCTGAAGCAAAAACCTGGAACTTGTGAGAACTCGGAAGCTTAAAGCGAGGGTAGAAAAATATAACAATTATGCTACATATCCACAATCCTCCGAATAAAATAATCCATATGTATCGAAATTTAATAACAAGGCACGGTAATAGCTTTTCAAAAAATATCCTTGACCAGTCACAGAGGAAATAATATATCTTATAAGGAACTGTACACACACTATAGCAACAACTGAGGTTTCGGTCATTGAGACGCACACAGCAGCGCAGCCATTTCTCGTGCAACATAATGGAAGCTGGCAACCAGGTCACAGTTAAAACAAAGTTTATCATCACCGTGGTGCCAGCAAATACACTGAAACAGCGGACAGCGGTGATGTCGCTGATGTAATTAGCATAAAATGCTGCGGCCGTAGTCAGGCTGGTGACCAGCATGGAGAGGACTGTATGGTGAAGAGTGTCGCTGATGATCTTTTCAATAATACCATTGTTTTTCTCCGACTTGGCCAAGTTCCAGACTCTGCAGTAGATAAATAAATCATCTGCTCCAATGCCGAGCATGACAATTAATGTCACCATGTTCATGTAAGGGAAAAACTTGATTTTGAAGACAAAAGTGTACAAAAAATAGGCAACTTCAACTGCCCAAAACATGGATAGAAAAGTCATGACTGTCACGAAAAAGGAAGTTGTGTACAGCCATAAAGATAAAAAGATAACAACACAAACCAGTCCCAGCCAGACAGAATCTGATAACAAGTACTCCTCAAACAGAGCAAATTTTACGCCAAAATGTGCTCCTACTATAGTGATGCTGTTAAACTCCCTTGGCATGCTTTCAAGGTGTTTAAAAACATGGATGGCTTGGGACCTGGCAACCAATGGTAAAAATATTGATGAGAATTTCAACATGGAAGATGGCGTTCCTGACGATGCTGATTCTTCTGAAGTTGATGCATGAGTAGATACTCTAGGATGCATGAATTCTGAATCTGCCAGAAAGTGGAGGATGTAGTAGACGGCATTGTACTTCTTGCATGACTCAGGAACACCTGGGCATTGTGAAGCCGGATGGCTGTGACTGTAGTACCACTCATAGGCACCGCCAGCACAGTTGGGACCCAGCGAGAGGTTGTGAAAGAATGGAGCGCACACAGAGAGCAGCTGGTAAATGGAACTGACATCTTCACCAGTGATGTCCAAGCAGGATGTCTTGTCCGAGAGCACAGCCACATAATTGCCGATAGACCAGGCCTGACAGCAGTCTCCACTTGCCTCGTTGGAAATGCACAAATCCTGATAGACGCTGGATGCTCTGAAGTAGGTGGACTCCAAATGACACATGGCCTTGAGATCATCCACATTAAAAAGACTTTGGTGATGTGAAGATGCCACTATGACGCGCGAGTATCCTTTGTCTGTGGGAACAAGTAAAGTAGAAGTAAGTAACAGGACTGTTTTATATCACTGGTGCATACCATGCTAGGATATTATTTTAGACCATTTGGCACTCAGTGGGTGATATAGTCAACACCACAGTCGGCTGTCTTGACTTTCCAGGACACTACCTGGTACCCATGTTAGGCTGAGTCAGCCTGGAAGGAAAGATCAGTTTGGGTAAAATAATTTGACTTGGTGCATACCTGAATGCAAGTTTAGGAACAGCAGAGGCACATCCATCCATGATGCCACCATGACCTCTGTGTGGAAACAAAATTAGACAAAAATATCTCTGCACAAAATTATATGTAATATTACTTGTAGTGTTTTTCCCAGTTAGCCACCATGGAGCATTTTATTACTGGCTCTTTCACCTCTGGTTTAAACACCAGCAGCCTGAGGGTTATTTTTCAGATCAGTATGGCTCTGGAATCACTCAGCCTCATATCAATAGGGATCAGACAGTCCTGGATTTTATCATTAAGCACATCAGGAATGGTTGGTCTAAGCCTCACCTTTGTGCCAGGCTATGTGGGTGTTCAAGGCAACGAGTGTGTAGATTATCTGACAGACACAGCGATTGCATAATAAAGTAAGATTTATCAGGGATAAAAAAGTAAAGGAAAAACTTTTAATTACTGTCTCTAATAAGTACCAGGTATTGTAGCAGTTAGCTGAAGAGGTAAGCACTGAAGTCTGCTGGAATCAGATCAAGGACATTTTTGAAAAGAATTTTCTGCAGAGGACCTTTTAAAAAAAAAAAACAACCTGAAACCATTAACATTACTGAAGAGAGGAAAAGTAAAAATACACACCTAAACAATAGCAAAATCTACAGTTGCCGAAGCTAGAGCTCATGAAAAATACACAGAAGCTAATAAGGAAGTTAGAAGGCAAATAAGGGCACATAAAAGGAAATACTTAAATGATCTAGCACAAAAAGCGGAGAGAGCAGCAGCAAAAAGAAACCTCAGAGACCTTTACAGTACCAGAAGGAAATTAGTAGGCAAATATAATCAGTCAACTGGATCTATCAAAAATAGTCCAGGAAAGCTACTCACCAACACTAAGATCAAATGGACAGATGGGCTAAATATTTAAAAATAATTCTGAATTGACCAACCCCATACATCCAGCCTTCAGAAATGGAACTAGATGTCACCTGTGTGGCATACTAAAGAGACAATTAGGAAAGCTATCAATCTTCTGAAAGAAGGAAAAGCTGCAGGTCCAGATGGTATCCCAGCAGTAGTTCCTGAAGTCAATATACATCACATCAATGAAACTGCTACACAGGTTATTCAGTAAAGTCTGGGAGACTAAAGAAATATCAACAGACGCAAGAGAAAGTCATCTTGTAAAACTCCCCCCCCCCCCCCCCCCCCCCCCCCCCCCCAAAAAAAAGGTGATCTGCAAGAGTGTGAAAACTATAGAGGAATTATGTTGCTGTCAGTTCACAGAAATATATTAGGTGGAATTATTTTGGAAAGACTAAAAGATGCTACTGATAAAAAGCGAAGAGTTAAACAGGCAGGTTTTTGACCAAACAGATTTTACTGACTAGATAGCCATATTTGCAACAAAAAAAAACAGAGCAAATAATTGAAGTCACCACTTAACAGTGGAATCATAGATTATGAAAAGGCAACAGCCTTTGATAGGAAATCTCTCTGGAAACTAACTAGGCACAATGGGATCCCACAGACAATTTTTAACTTAGTAAAAGCAGCATACTGCTATGGGCACCAGTGGTACTGGAACTCTGCGCTGGCTGCTGAAGATAAGGATGGAGTGCTTATGGAAATGCCCACAGTGCTGTGATATTGGTTCTTGAAACAACTTAATTAAAAAAGCAACACATACAGACATGAAATGTCAAGTTCTTCATGAGGGAAAACTAAAAGATACATTTGAAATAAAAACAGGTATGCAACAGGGATGTCTTTTGTCCTATTTATACTGGCTATAGACTGGAATATAAAGACAGCAGCTGCTAACACGAATGGAATTCATGGACCCCTACAAAACAGCCTGATGATCTGGACTTCACTAATGGCATTTCTCATCTATCCTACTCATGGAATCGGATGCAAGATAAATTAAATATAATTGATGCAAGATTGCAACAGTTAGGTCTAAAAATCTCTAAAAGAAAGACAAAGATAATGAGAATAAATTCGGCAAACAGTAATGTGGTTTCTCTTAATGGTATCCCACTCCAAGATGAATAGTCGTACACCTATTTGGTCAGTAATGTAGATAAAGATGGGGAATCCAATAGAAATATTAAAATACAAACACAAAAAGCCAGAGGGGCTTTAATAGCATAAGGAAATGTGTGGAGATTAAAAAGAATTAACACTAATAATCAACTTATTTACATTTTTACATTCTAATGTCAAATCAGTACTCTTGTATAGAGCGGAAACATTGAGAACAATTAAAACAATTACTAATAAACTACAAACATTCATTAACCGGTGCCTGCGCAGAATAGAGAAAATTAAATTGTATGATTAAATCTCTAATGTTGAGCTTTGGAAGAGAATTAAACAAGTTCCAATGGACCAACGGGTGAAGAGAAGATGCTAGTATTGGATAAGACACACACTGAGAAAACCTGAGAACAGTATAACTAGAATGTCTTTACACTGGAACCCACAGGAGCATAGAAATAAAGGAGAGGAAAAAAAAACATGGGAGAAAGGAGCTGGCGGTGAAGTTAAAAAGATGGGGAGGACATGGTGTGTGTTGCATGCGATAGCGAAGGATAGAATGACTTGGCATGAGCAGTTTGCCACTGCTTCCTGAAAAATCGACTCTCAATACCACTGTCGAAACCAACGCAAGGTAATCTGCTGCCAAATTGCCGGCATTACCAAGTTCATTCGCAACGCCTAAACTACAGATGCTACAGCAAGGAAACACTGGTAATTAAGCGGCTTTTAGCTCCACAAAAATCTTAACAAGAATTTTGCAAAATATTTGAGCGATGTAGTTTTTTTGGGGGGAAAGTTTTTTTTATCTTCTCCGCTACACTCTGACTTACATTTTTTTTTAAATAGAAGAAATTCACATCTCATGATGTGACCAATTCAAAACAGGCTACAGTTTTTGTATACTTTTCAATAATAGTAGATCTGAACAGTGTCATTCAACCTTCCTAATTCAGCAACACTTTAATACAGTTCCCCCATGTTGTGGCAACCCACAGACTATTATTTTCCTTCATAACTTCAATGAATATGTGTTTTCCGATGGTCTTAGGCGACACTTGTGAAAGGGTCATTCGACCCAAAAAAAAGGTAGCGGCCGGCAGGCTAAGAACCATCCTCTACTGTATCTGGTCAGGTGCATACTACAGAAGCAATCAGAAATAATCACCACTTGTCCATCGCACGCTAACTACTTCCTTCACCATGGACAGATAAAACGGTCTCAAAGAAATGAACCCACAATCAATCCTCCCTCTTTGTGCACATTACGAGAAAGAAAAGACACTGAAGTATATCCTGACAGGGTGCCGCAGCGGCTAGACGCTCGTGTGCGGATTGGAAGGGCATGGGTTCGCTCCCCGGTGAAGCTGGACTTTTTACAAAAATGATCTTGACTCCTAGGTTGACCCAGCCTTGAGTGGGTACGGGGTGCAGTCCTGGGAAGTAAAGGTGGTCGGAGTGATGCTGACCACATCACCCATCTTGTGCCGATTGGTCTATAAAAAAAACAGGTCTAGCCCCATATGCCTAAAGGTGTGGAAAAGGGACCTTTACTTTATCCTGACAACAAAATTTGAGGGGAAGAGCAGCAGGGGAAGAGCAAGGGAGAGAAGGTTAGTTTAGCATTAGGATATGAAAGAACTGCTGTAAGCAGTACAATAAAATGGAAAACCTAGGGCCGACAGGCTGACCAACATCACAAGGAATTAGCTACAAAAAGTAGGCAGAAAACACACTGCCACTAAAACCAACAGCATGCCAGTGTTGTCAGAGAGCACTGTTTGTAATGAAATTAGTTGGCCATACTTCCTGTATCCTTTACATTTTGGCCTGTCATTTCAGAAGAGATAGTGCTCTAATGGTATTATTGTGAACACAAACCAGCAGTTCATACTATTCGACTGTTATCTCTGTCAGACAGATATTAGCACTGTGATGGCAACAATAACACACACAAAAAAGACTTTAACCCTTTGGGGATGGCCAGCTGATAGAACAGCAAAATAGCCAAAAAGACGGCTGGGCTGATATGTCGGCCCGGTAATATAAGCCTTGAGATTGGCTGGCTGGTCTTTATTTCAGCTAATCAGATTGCTTCTCGCATTTCTTGCACATGTGGGCTGTTCAATGGCGGCTTCCATAAAAGTTTATTTAGTTTGAAATTTTACAGAAGGGTTACCTGTGGCCAACAATAGCGAAACGGATTGTTGCCTCATAGCAACCAAAACATAGCAGGAGGCAGGAAAAGGAGAAGAACTATGTGCCAGAGGTGTCTGGAAGGCCTATATGTTAGGACTTATACAGGCTTCATTCATCAGAAAATTTAGCAACATTTTCCCAAAATCATCATGTTCCGGAGACATTAGTGCAGTGGAGAGTGATCTTTAGGATCTGGCTGACTTGACACTCAGAGGAAGGGCAAAATGGAAACACAATCAAAATACTACTGGTACCATTGGAACTGGAACTTAGTGCTGGCTGCTGAACATGTGGACAGATCACTTATGGGAATGCCCTGAGTAAAGTGATGTTGGTTCTTTACTCAAAATATATTTATGGATTTTTCTAACTACTTATTAAAAATAAAAAGTTATGCACATGATATTCTCCTTCAATTAACTATATACCTGGACTGCCACACAAAAGATTTCCATTTCCCTCTGACACATTATCAGACGAATGCCTGAACCGGTGACTCTGATAACCAGTGTTGAACTGACGGGATCTTTTCTGTCTTGTGAACACATTATTAAATGCTGCTT